GGATCCAGGTGCTTTTCCTGGTCTCCCATGGGGTGCAGGGCCCAAGCACTTGGGCCATCCTCCACTGCACTCCCTGGCCATAGCAGAGAGCTGGCCTGGAAGAGGGGCAACCGGGACAGAATCCAGCGCCCCAACCGGGACTAGAACCCGGTGTGCCGGCGCCGCAAGGTGGAGGATTAGCCTATTGAGCCACGGCGCCGGCTCTTTTTATGAACTTTTTGAAGAGCCCTGTGTACTTTCCACCTCCAGAGTGGCCTGCCTTCCCATTCGGCTTTGGGTGTCCATTTCCAGCCCCTACCCCCAGCGCCTGGATTGAAGCAGTCTTCAAAGTGGCGATGCCAAGCCACTTTTCACTTTCTCCCAAAAAAATCACCAGCTCATAAGTCTCAAATATTGTTTATTCTGTCCTGAACTAGAATATTTTAGTTTGGCTTATTCTAAAGCTCATTTTCTTCTCCTGCACTTGTCATGGCATCTCATTCTGTTATCACTGTGGGATGTTAAATCGCGAGGAGCCTGCGCGAACTGTTGTTTGTGTAGACCCAGCATCCATTTTCTCTTGTGCTACAGCCAATTATTTGCTCACAATTCTCTCTTCCCTCCCTGTCCTTCTCCCCATTACCCTTGGCCATGATTCGGTTTCCCCAGTGCAGCGTGAGCAGAAGTGAAAGCCAGCTGATCCCAAGCAGGGCTTTTAATAGGCATCATGGATTTCCACTCACTCCTGCTGGGTTCCTGTTCTCCTGGAGAACCACATGTCCCACGTAGTGTCTGCTCCTTCAGCCGGGTCCCTGGATGAGAGGTTATGCGAAGCAGACGTGCACTCAGCCAGCGGAGGGGAGCCAGGCCCAGCCACGCCCAGCCATGCCACACTGGCTTGTTCCAGGACATGACCATGTTTTGGAGTTGTTTGTTACACAGTCCGAGCCCAGCATAAGCTGACAAATACACACCATCTTTTGGAACCAGGGTTTTGATTTTCTTTTTGAGTTCTCTTACCCCTCCCCAAGCCACTCCCAACCTCCTTTTTTAAAGATTTATTTATTTATTTGAAAGTCAGAATTACAGAGAGATCTTCCATCCACTGATTCACTACCCAGAGGGTCGCAACGGCCTAGGCTGGGCCAGGCTGAATCCGGGAGCCAGGAGCTTCTTCCAGGGTAGCAGGGGCCAAAGCACTTGGACATCTTCTGCTGCTTTTCTCAGGCCATTAGCAGGGAGCTGAATTGGATGTGGAGCAGCCGGAACATGAACCGGTGCCCATATGGGATTCTGGCACCGCAGGCAGTGGCTTTACCCACTACGGCACAGGGCCAGCCCCCACCCCCCCTTCCCTCCTTGATTCATTGGGTTTAGTTGGGCTGACTCTCCCCCACTCTCACCCAGGCACTTCCAACACATCACAGCTTTTGTGCATCGTTGCTGGTGAGCTCTCAGCTATTGGTGTCAAAGCTGAGAGAATCTCACTCTGTGATTGTAGACCCTGTCCTCTGCTATAAAAGGCTAGGGAAGTAATCTCACAGCTCAGAGTCCTAACTCCTGAGTGCTTTACAACAAAAGCGTGGATCATGCACCAGTAGATTCCACAGCTCTTCAGTGTCTTAAAAAAAACCTTTTAATTTATTTATTGAGGTGTGTGTGTTGAGGGGGCAGACTATGTTGTCTTCCATTCTCTGGTTCACTACCCAAATGCCTGCGATGGTTGAGGCCGAGCTGGAGCCAGAGCCAGGAGCCAGGAACTTAATCCAGGTCTCCCTGATGGGTGGCTGAGAACCCAGTTTTGTGAGCCATCACCACTGCCTTGGCAGCTTTTGGAGAGTAGGAAGGACAGCGTGGAAAACAACAGCAGTTTTCTCTTAGAACGCAAAGGGACAGAAGCTGCCACACCTGAAAGTAAAAGCTATTCCCTGGGCAAGAGCAGAGTTCTCTCTGAATTATTCATTCACACGAAGAGCAGAGAGCAGTGGTGTGGATGATACAGAACATCAGAGGAGCTTCAGAGGGCTTCCCATGGGCTGGGAAACCCTAAGGCTGCCCCAAAGCGTTCAACAGTGCTTTATACAACGAAGTATTTCTTCCAACCAATCAGACTGCTGGATAAACATGTGCACACCTCCACTCCCTTTCACAGAGGGATTCTACAAAAATTTCTGAAAATACAAAAGGCATAATTGCTAGTGACTTAAACCTTACTTACGTTTGGCTTGGGCATATGGTCTTTTTAAGAAAAAAAGCAAGACTTCAGGAGTAGGCATTTGGCTTTCTGGTTAAGATGCTGATTGGGGCGCCCACCTCCCCTATCAAAGTGCCTGGGTTTGAGTCTCGGCTCTGTTTCAGATTCCAGCTTCCTACTAATGTGCACCTTAGGAGGCAGCAGTGATGGCTCAAGTAGTGGGGTCCCTGCCGCCCACATGGCAGAGCTGGATTGAGTTCCAAGCTTCTGGCTTCTGCCCAGCCCAACCCTGGCCTTTTGCAGCCACTTGGGGAGTAAACCTTCAGATGAGCAGTCTCTCTCTCTCTCTCTCTCTCTCTCTCTTCCCTCTCAGATAAATGAAAGTAAAATAAAAACAAGACTTGATTTTCTAAGATAGTGCTCTGCTTACAGCAAAAGTGAGTGGAGTCTGTCCCTAGCCCCACACGTGCAGAGCCTCCTCAGTATCAGCATCCCCTCCCAGGCTGACACCTGCCTTACAGATAAGGAAGCTAAATTGACTACTTGTTATCTCTCAGTCCATAGTTTATCTCCAGGTTCACTCTTGATGGCCCACAGGCTGTGGGCTCTGCCATTGGCAGCTACACCTGTTTCTACCATGACAGCATCATACAGAGTAGTTCCCTGCCCACCCAGAAAGTCCTGTGTGCTGCTGGGTCACACTCCCTCCCAAACCAGTGCCAAACATCTTAAAAAAAAAAAAAGTTTTATTTATTTGAAAGGCAGAGCTGGCAAGAGACAGACAGACCTCTTCCATCTTCTGGTTCACTCCCCAAATGCCCATAAACAACCAAGGCTGAGCCAGGAGCCTGGGACTCAGTTCAGGTCTCTTATGTGGGTGCCAAGCACCCAACTCCTGGAACCATGACTGCTGCCTTTCAGGGTGTGCCTTAGCAGGAAGGTGGATAGGAAAAGGAACCAGGCTGGAACTAGGCTCTCTGATACGGGCTGTGGGCACCCCAACAGCATCTTTCTGCCTTACCAAATGCCGGCCCCACACATTCGTCCTTTGACTGTCCCCACAGTTTTTGCCTTTTGCAGAATGTTGTATAGGTAGAATCATACAGTGTGTAGCCTTTTCAGACTGCTTTCTTTCAAGTGTATACTACAATCAAGTAACCTAGGTTCCTAATTGTGTGTGCATGTGTGTGGAGATTTGATAAAGTAAGTTTATATTCTCAGTCCACAGACAGCTGGATCACACAGGGACACAGTATCAGGTCTACTGAGTGACAGGGGAAGCCAAGTAGGGATTTAAATGATAATCTCCAAAGTGGAAAATGAGCCATGCAAAATCAGAGGTTGATAAACAGCCCTCATTCCCATACCTTGTCCTGCTTCACCCTCCCACCTCACCTCTGACCCACCCCCCATCTCTCTCCTTCCCTGAGGTCTGGGGGACTGTCTCAGCCTCCCACCCCCGCGAGCTATCCACACCAGCCAAAAACTCTAGACCTGTCCCTTGGTCCTCTGATTGACACTTGGGGGTGGGGCGGTACTAACTCTAGTAGCTGCACTGGCCCTGCCCTCTAGAAGGTCACGTTTGATAGAAGTGAGAGATTTGTCAACAAACTTTCAAGGAGGCTGCAAAAATATAAACACGGTGGTGGAAATATTATGTGGTCCTTTGCAAAGAGCTAGGGCCTTGTCCCCTGACAATCTGCCTTCATTGATGTGGGCTGACTAAGGTGGGATCGTTTTCAAAACACCCTCCAGGTGATGAGAAACACCCCAGGCTACACAATTAGGGACTTCGGAGGTGGGGCCCTGCAACCAGGGTTTACCAAGCCCCTCAGGTCAGCCGCTGTGCGTCTTGGTCCAGGCGTGGGTCTGCCTTTACGTCTGCAGGTCGCGGGTTTGCGCGACTAAGGAGTGGGGGCATGGCGCTTGGCGGATTCCAGGTGAGCGGGTGAGGTTGGCGCCTAGGGCTTGGGGGTGAGCGGCATCCCCCTTGGCCGGTCTCAAACTCCAGGGCAGTGTAGGAGCCTCGCTCCAGCTAGAGGCTACAAAGAGAGCTGGGGTGTGGAGTCCGGTTCTGCGGAGGCCTGGGTCACTGGGCCCGCGGTGGTCACTGCAAGGCCCTGGGGGATTGGCCAGAAAGGTCTCTGATGGAGAATCCGGCTTCCAGTTTATGGCTCCTCATTCTTTTCCCCCAAAGTAGGCCCCCCAATCTGAGGGCTAGCTTAAAAAAAAAAAAAAAAAAAAAAAAAAAACCCAGACAGGAACTGTGTTCATCCCCGGTCCCCAGACGGAAACAGTGCCTCCTCCTGCACGCCCGACATCTTCTCCTCCACGGCCCTCACGCCCTGACCCTGGACCCCGCTCCCCACTGCCCACTCGCCCCCAGACTCTTCCATCCCAGTCCGCGAGGTCAGGGGTCTCCCCGCCCCGGGGCGCGCCACTCCCAAGCCGGGGGCTGGGCACGACCCCGCCGCCCTGGTCCCCAGCGCAGGGACCCCCCCCCCTTCCACCCCAGCGGGCGAGCAGGGATCCCCACCCCCGGAGGCTCCTCCCCGGGGGTGGCTGAGCAGGAAGCGCAGCCGGCGGCGGGCGGGGGCGCGCGGGCGGCGTGGGGCGTGCGGGCCCGGGGCGGCGGGAATGCGCGGGCCTCGGCGGGCAGCCCCGGCGCACAGCCGCGGCCGGGGGGCGCGGCGCGGGGCGGAAAAGCCTGTTTACACAGCCTGCACACCGCCTGGGGAATAATGCAGGAAAGGAAGTGAGCCGGCTCGGCCTGACTGCTCCAACTTCCTGCTCTCACACACACCAGGGGGGGGGGGGGGGTGAAAAAAAAGAGGAGCGAGAGAAAGAAAAAAAAAGGGGGAAAAATCAGGATCTCATTACAAGAGCAACAGAGCGTCTGCAGACGCCTGTCAGCATGGCAAGTCGGGGGCTTTCGCCCGGGTCCTCCTAGACCTTGCCCCGAAGACGGCTCCTGAAGGCTCCCCCGCGTCTGGCCCCCTTCTGCGAGCCTTGGACTTGCGCGCACTCCTGCAAAGTTTGCTCCGGGGTGGCTGCTTCGCCTCTTCCCTGCGGGTGGGGGTGGGGCGCGGGTGGGCGCTGCGGGGTGGCCCGCGGGCCGAGGGCGCCTCGGGGATGCTGCTGCTGCGCCCGCGCCGCCGGGGCAGCGCGGGGACTCTGCGCGAGTGGCTCCCGGCCCCCAAGGCTGCGGGTACGGGGAGCGGGGCCCGGCGGTCCTCGGGTCCCTACAAGGAGCGGGGAGCCGGGCGCGGGGTGGGCTGCGTGCCTGGACGCTGGACCGTGACTGACCTTCCAGTGCCGGGGAGGACAGAGCGCGCGGGTGCTCGGACCCGAGGAGGGAGGCAGACAGGGATGGAGCGGGAGGGGACTCGGTGGGGCAGGGGGCAGCGTCCAAGCAGGTGACCCCCGCCCGGGTCGCCGCCCCAGGCGCAAGCCCAGGCGGACATTTAAACGCCAGTGGAGCCTTGACACGGTTTTGGAGAAGGACCGGGCCAGAGAGGGGTCTGGCTTGGAGCTGGAAGGCGGCCCATGATGTGACTGTAACTTTGGGCAGGGGGGTTAGGATTTTGGGGAAGGGGACTTTTTTTTGTTTTTTTTTAAAGGTCTTGGCTGTGTGTTTTCTGAACCGAATCATCCCGGGGAGCTGGTGTCGTTAGGCGGCGGGTGGGGGTGGGGGTGGGGGCGAGAAATGGGATTTAAGAAACTGCAAAAGGGGCTTTTTTAGAAGAAAAAAAAAACGAGTGTCGGGAGAGTTTCTGGCTTGTCTGGAAACAGCAAGACTAATTGCCATGCGCTTCCGCTTTGAAACTGGCAGCCGACAGCGTCTTGAAAATGACTCACTGGAGGAGCTCACAAAGAAACTGTGGTTTGCTCCTTCTCAGGTTTATGTATTTGTGCCTTTTACAGTTTCCTTTGTAGTGTTCGAGGGGCCCCCGCCCCTTCCCCGCCAGCCCCCTCCCGTCCGGCCTCCTTTGAAAGCCCCCAGCCGTTCCTTAACTCTGCCCAGTCTCCCCCTCCCACCCCGAGCCCGGGTCGGGGGGCCGGGGTTGGGGTGGGGGGAGGCCGGGTTGTTGTTGGAGTTGGCTGGGGAGAGGGTTAAAGGGATTCTGCTGCTGCAGGGGGAAAAAGTTCCCTGAATTTTCCACTGGCTGCCGCAGGAAGAGAGAGCCCCTTTAGTCATTGCTAAGTAATGTCTGCACACACACCAACTAATCTCATTAGGAGTTTCCGCTGCTCGGCACAGGAGGGGTTTTGTGCAGCCTCCATCAGCCTGGGGAGCCCAGCGCTGGGGAGGGAGCCCAGGGAGGACTGTTTGCTTAGGGGGGCGGATGCCCCGCCAGCCTCTGCAGGGCAGCATCCTGTAAATCTTGAAGCCCCTTTGGCCATTTTGGAGTTGAGACCAGCAGGGTTTGCTTTGTGTGTGTGTGTGTGTGTGTGTGTTGGGGGGAAGGCAGGTTCCCTGGCCGCTCAAACACGCCCACCCTCTCCCATCTGTGGGCTTCAGTCTTTGTTGGGGGGCCAGGGCCAATCGGGACTGGAAGGGGTTGCTGCAGACCTGGCGTGTTCCGGGCATCTGTTGATGAGTTAAATCGATTTCTGAGCCTTCCTGCTCTGATCTCTCTGGCACACATTTGTTTGGGAAAGATCAGTTAGGAGTTTGAATTTATAGAATTATAAAACTACAAAGTGTGTTACAGGAGGCCTTGCGGGTCAGATGGTGGAGCAGACGGTCCATAAGTGCTCTTCAGTTTCCAGTAATGACCCCGACTGCCCAGCCCGCTGAGGATGAGAAGTGATGGCCTTTCTATGCCAAATATAGCAAAGGCCTTCTGGCTATTTTTTTAAAAAACCTTTAAATGTTCTCTAGAAATGTGTAGTTACTAAAAAGGATAAAGAATTTCAAGGAACCCGATCGAAACCACAGGGCCCCGTCATTGACAAGGACGTGGTGCCCCTCGGGGGGTTCTGAAGGTGCGGGCATTTCTCTTACAGTGGCGGAGTATGTCCTAAAAACAGCCCAGGGTGTGAGTCAGTGGGCATGAGCACAGGCTGTCCCTAACGCCGTGCCTGGCACAGAGTAGGTGCTCAGGAAATGGTGGCATCCAGGGCTGCAGCAGGAGGACAGAAATGACATTCGATGAAGAGAGCTGACATTCTGCTGGAGCGTTAAGGATGGCGGTTGTAAATACTCTGTGTGTTTCATTTGAAGAAATCGGAGGTCCCTGGAATCCTCCTTCCCAGCAAGTTGTTACTTGGGATACATACGGGTTTTTTTTCTCTTAATTATGTAAGGTTGCCATTTGCTTATTTTTAAGTTGGTTATTCATTTTATTGGTTTATAGACACGCTATAGATGATATTAACCACTTCTCATTTTTTTAAAGGATTTTATTTGAAAAGTAGAGAGATAAAGAGAGAAAGCGGGAAAAACCAAGAAAGAGATCGTAAATATGCTGGTTCACTTCCCAAATGGCCACAATGACCAGGGCTGGGCCCGGCCAAACCAGGAGCTTCCTCTAGGTTTCCCACGTGGGTGCAGGGGCCCAAGCACTTGGGCCATCTTCAGCCATTTTCCCAAGTGCATCAGCAGGGAGTGGGATCAGAAGTGGAGCAGCTGGGACTTGAACTGGTGCCTATATGGGATGCTGGCACTGCAGGTGGCAGCTTTATCCTCTATGCCACAGCACCAGCCCCCGTACAGTTCATTTCTGTGTATGGTTATCAACCGGAAATCACTTTTGCCTCTCAGGAGACAGGTGACACTATCAAGACATTCTGGTTGTTACAGCCGGGGAGGGCGCTATTGGCATACAATGGGTAGATGCCAGGGATGCTGTGAACATCCCACATTGCATAGGAAGCCCTCCACCCCCAAAGAATCTTTAAACCCAAAATGTCAGTAGTGCCCAGATTGAGAAATTCTTATTTACCTTAGTCATGGTGATGAAAACTTTCGCATGCATTTATTCCATGAATGTGACATTTAGTGAGTTGCATGTTTCTGCTAGTATGTAACAGTACTCATGAACTTTGTCTGTCTTCTGGTCACTGATGTGTGATAAAGGGGGGCCTATGCTGGTGCGCAGTGGTGGCAGACCCTCTGTGAGCTGAGTTAGCCTGCCTTGCAACCTCTGCGGGCACGGTGTCTTCATGGATTCACGCGCTCACACCAGTGCATTTTGGACCAGAGTGGTGGTGGCTCAGAATGGGGAGTGCAGTTATTTTTAACCCCATTTGCATTTTGAAATTACCTAAATATTAATGAGTTCCTTTTTCTTATGTAAAACATTAAATAATCTGAAACTACAAGGACACAGTAAATGTCACTCTGAGATCATGTATTAAAATTTGTATTTGTACCAATTTTTTTGGAACCTGACTCTTCCCGAAAATGGTTTTAAGGGACTTCCAGGCAGTGTATATCAATTGAAACACATCCTCCTTCACTGTCAGATACTGGATGTTGTGTGGTGTGTCTTCCCCGGTTACGCTTAGATACCTGAGTCAGAAGGCCGATTTGGTGCCATGAAATAGTGCAACGCACCATCTGTTGGCAAACCCAAGACGCAGAATAAAAACCATGCAAGGATGGGACTTCCTGGAGGAGTCGTCTTTTTAAGTGAGGGTGAGTGACTGCTCACTAAGGCAGAGCTTTGCTCCCTTCCAGCCTAGAGAGTAGGACTCTGTCATCCGTGTGTCTCCCAGCCCTGGGGCTTCCCTTTAAGTCGTTTTTTTTTTTTTTTAATTTATTTTTATTTAGTCAGAATTAAAACAGAGAGGAGGGGAGGTAGAGAGAGAGAGAGGTATTCTATCCACTGGTTCACTCCCCAGTTGACTGCAACAGCTGGAGCTGAGATTTGAAGCCGGGAGCCTGCTGTCCTTAACGCTCCAGGGTGCAGGGGTCCACGGACTTTGGGCCATATTCTGCTTTCCCAGGCCATAGCAGAGAGCTAGATTGGAAGTGAAGCAGTTGGGACACGAACCAGCACCCATATAGGATTCTGGCACTGCAGGCGGTGGCTTTACCCACTACACTACAGCGCTGCCCCCCCCCCCTTAAATCTTAAAAACTGGGCTCTGTGCATTCTGCCTCTGCCCTGGTGACTGGCCTCTGGCCCTTCCCTAAAGGCCTGCACCTGTACACATGGCTGATGGGCTGGAAGGAGCCTACTCGGTGGGGTGTTCTTGTAAGTTTCAGGCAAAGGGATCTTAGGTGATAGTCCCGTAATTCCGCTTTGTCTTCGACTGATTTATAGGATATATACTAGTATGATAGTAGTTTGAAAGTTTTTTTGTTGTTAAAAATGTTAATATGAATTGCCTTTGGAATATGTAGACAACCACATAAAATTAAGTGTCTCATTATCATACTATTACAATGTTGATGTTTTTCTAGATTTTAAAGTGTGTGTGTGTATATAAACACATAGAACAGTTCTTACTTGGTTCACACTGTATTTACTATCCTGTAATTTTTTTTCCACCTAACACGTCACATAACACATTTTAAAAATTAGACTAAAACCAAAATTACCACACATAGAGCTTGTATTTATTGATCTAATAAATGTGTTGACTCAACAATGGGTTGACATAATTTCTGCATGGACTTTTTTGTTTTTCCTTCTGTGGTTCAAGTAATGTTCTAAGAATGTTGTTCTCTTGACAGACTCGAGTTCCTATGTGCTGTGAAATTTGGGATTTTTGATGAGTTTCTCTGACTTAAGAATGAGTCATGATTTGTGAATATCAAGATGTAGTAACAGGAAGCCCAGGGCACTGCACCTCAAAATTGAGGGTTAAATGATGACAGAGAAACTAAGATCAACTGGAAACACACCTTGAGATGATCTAACTAGGAAGGAGGAGGCAGGTGGGTTGTATACATGTTGGCAACTGTTACTATTACTGTCTCATTTTGTATCCATAGAGTTTCCAAACTTTGAAATTGGTGTTATAAATTGATTTTTTTTT